GAAAAAGAAAATTGATTTTTATTTTTTTTTTGCACACAAAGTTATAAGTTAATAAGATATTTCTTATACACAGTATAGGCATGCTCAGAATTACACCCCAAAGCATATTCTGCTACTACCGTGTTTCCCCGAAAGTAAGACCTACCCCGAAAATAAGACCTAGTTCGCGGTAGGTCTTATATTACAGACATCTTACCTTCGGGGTAGCTGCACATGTAATTCAATTTCACATGTGAAGACCGGCCGCAGCTCCCTCTCGCCCGTCTCTTGAAAAAATAAAATAAGACACTGTCTTATTTTCGGGGAAACTTCCCAGTATGGGGACACCACAAATGTGAGACTTTTTCACAGCCTAGCCACAGAGAGAGGAGTGTAAATACCACAGAGCATCATGAAGCTTTCAAAGTGCTCCATGGTATTTGGTATGGAGCACTTTGGAGGAATGGTATGACCCCATTCCTCCAAGCCAAACAGACCTTCTGGTACTTGGCTAACTCCAGGAATTATACACAATGCTATGTTCAGTGACCTGGAAGTACAGGAAGCTTGACAAAAGGTAAACAAAACGGTACCTGTGATTCCAGAAGTGCAGCTGTCTTAAGAGGATGACTGGGACTGGTGTTTTGGATGGAACATTGTAAGTTAGACTAGCAGATGGGTCACTGCAGGCAGCAGGCATAAATGTGGTCAACTAGGTAAGTTCAGGTGGCAGGCATAGAAGTGGTCTGTTGCAGGCCAAGGTCAGTTCATGCGGCAGGCAGAGACATGGTCAGTAAGCAGGCTGAGGTCAGTTAGGGCGGCAGGCAAAGTATTTTGTTAGTATTTAGGCAAAAGATCAATCCAGGTGCCAGGCAGAGACGTGGTCAGTATGTAGGCCAAGGTCAGCTCAGGTGGCAGGCAAAGATGTTGTCAGTATGTGGGTCGGTCCAGGCGGCAGGCAGAGGCGTGGTTGACAGACATGCAAGGATCAGTTCAGGAGGCATGCAGCGATGTGGTCGGTATGCAGGCACACTATTAGTCAGGGCAGCAGGCAGAAATGTGGAAGTTGGTACACAGGCGATCGGGCACAGGCAATTAACAGCTGGTGAAGCCATAAACATCTTCACCATACCTGCACTATAATTGCAGTGAGGTATGGTAGTGGCGGAAGCAGTCTTTGATGCAGAGGCCAGGTTTTGAGGGACAGTTGGGACAATAGTAATAGTAACGTGTGCCCCGGGTAATTCCTTTCTTGCTACACACGTGGCATTTTTTTGGGGGTGTCCGGTCTTCTTGGGTGGAAGAAATCTTATTGGGGAAGTGTCTATTGTGAAGCCTGCTGACTGCATCAGACTGAAGACTTAGAGCAGCAGGGCCTTCCTGGTAAATCAGGGATGTAATAATTGCTTCTTGATATTCGAGGTAAGAGCCAGCTCTTCCTGTAGACTTATAAATTCCGTATGAATTGTACATAGCCAATTGAAAAAGATAGCTGGACAGATTTTTTTTTTTTTTTTTTGACATCCCTTTTTGTCTTTCCATTTGAGGGCCAAAAGTTCATAATTCCTTATACTTGCTGACTCCCCCCTTTTCAGCTTCTTGCGGACAATATTTTGGGGAAAGCCAATCCGATTTGATTGCACTGTACTACAGGATGGGTTTTTTTTTGGAGTAACAGGTGTTTGAACAGGGGCACGCTGCTGTAGAAATTATCCACATATAGGTGGTATCCCTGGGGGAATAGGGGTGACAATAGGTCCCACACTTCATCCACTGATTCCCATGTATGATGGGCATCCAGGGGCCTCCAAATGACTATCCTTCCCTTCATACACACGGAAGTCATGTGTATCCCGTGTCTTTCACAAAGCTTGTACAGTTTAACCCCGTACCTGTCGCGTTTCCTGTGCATATACAGTTTGATATTAAGCCTGCCTGTTAAATGAATAAGGGATTCATCAACGCAAATATTTTGTTGGGGGGTATAATTTTCAGAAAATGTGGCAGAAAACAAATTGAGTGGCCTAATTTTTTGGACCCGTATAATATGTGGGGTGACTTCTGGGAGGGCAAGTAAAATTGTCGAAATTAAGAAACCTCAATATGGTTTTGTATCTTGTCCTGGACATGGTTGCAGAATATAGGGGCATGTGATGAATTGGGTTTGTAGACCAGTATGCATTCAGCTAATTTTTTTTTTTTTGTGAGTCCCATATTCAGTTTTAGGCAGAGAAAGGTTTTAATTTAAGCAACAGTCGGAGGCCTCCACTGAAATGGTCTGGCATAGGAGGAATTAGGATTGCTGGCAACGAACTGTTGAAAATAAAGGTTGGATTGGGTGACAATCAAATTGAAGAGGTCATCAGTGAAGAACAAATTAAAAAATTGTATTGGTGTAAAAATTTCCATTTCCACTTGGACTCCTGGATTGGCAATAAATGGGGGGATGACCCGGTGCGGCTGAATTGGAGGGTAGCCACAAGGGATTTGAAAGTGCCTCTGGTAGTACACTAGTATGTGGTCTTTGGGGCCTGATTCTTCGTGGCTGATTTTGGGGATGAGCGGTGGTACTGGTGGATGCCTCAGCTTGGGGATGAGCGGCAGTACTAGTGCTTGGCTGCTCCATGTCAGCTGGATGTTGCATAGCACGCCTGGATCTTTTTGTGGGCACAACTTCTGAATCGGAGGCTACTGAACCGCTGCTCTCCACAGGTTCGTACTTTGATCCAGAATCTGAGGCCTCTCCGTCAATCTCACCAGACATGCTGAGGATTTGAAATGCCTCCTCGCTTCTGTAATTTTTTTGTGACATTTCTGTTAGTGCGTATACTTGGAGGCACTGGATGAAACTGATACTTGGACATGCTGTACCAGTTATGTGAGCGTCACACACTAATTGGTGCTAGTAGGCTGGCACGGTGGTAGATACTTGCGTGTTCTGCTGGCACTGAGTGCTGATGTGTGCTGCAAATGTGGCACTGATGACACAAACTGTCAATCGTGCTGATGACACTGGCACTGACAATGAAACTCACTGATACTGTGAATCGTGCTGATGACACTGCAACTGGCACTGACGATACTGAAACGTACTTACACACTGAATCGTGCTGATGATACCGACTTGCAATAATGACTTGGGAATCACACTGATGACATTGAATGGCACTCACACTGAATCTCAAAGATGACACTTAATTGACACTTTGACACTGTACTGTAGCAATCTATCAGTGTGTATCACTTTAAATGCTTACTGTGGATGATCTGGGAAGTTTCTATCTCCTCTCTCAACCCAAGGTGTGAGAGAGAGGAGATAGTGACAAGGCTGCAAACTGCAGCCTCTGTTTACTTTTGTGACAGCTGTGATTTGTCACAGCTAGATCACAAGGTATAGAGCCGATTTTACTGGCTCTCTACCTTGTTTTAGACACCGCACTGTCCAATGGACAGTGCGGGCACAGTTGCCGGGTCGTGAGCGCGGGGGGTGGGGCGGGACGGGACGTCTAGACGCCGGCTCAGATTTAGGAAGGTCCTGGCCGGCCGTTTTTCTACAACGGACGGCCCCGAGGCAGTTAAGGCCTTGTTCACACCAAGCAAGTTCCAGGAGCAGAGGTGTTACAGACCGGATCAAAACTGCCTCCAATGTATTCCAATGGTATTTTTGGCTCTAGTTCACACCGCAGCGTTCAGTTCCAGAGCATGTAAAAAAACTGCAGCAATCCCTATTTTACCTGCTCTGGAACTCATGCCAACGCACTGAAAGCTCATTTTAAACTATTTTTAAACTATTTTTTTAACCAAAGACGGCCCTGAACGCATCAAAAACGCGGCACAACCCACTGCACTGCGTGTGCAGAAGCTCATGCAGATCTGCTCTGCATTTAGTGTGAACAAGGCCTTAATGTTTTTTATATTACTTGTATTTTTATTACACAACTTTATTGCCATCACATAGGGGGTTAGGAAGTCCCCTAAGTAGATCTCTTTATGGAGACATCAGAGGTCTCCAAGACCCCCTAATGTCACCTAGGGACCCCCAGAGAAGCTGATAAAGCAGGAATCTGCTTCATCAGCTTCTGTAGCTGGAGAGTGACACTAAATGCAGGAAGTGATGTAATATACATCACTTCCTGCATTCGAGGACGGTGACGAGATCAAAGGGAGATTGTGTGACAATCTCCCTTTTAATCTCCTGTCAGAGCAGCTGTGCCGGTCCCGGGCACATCGGGTCTCGGGAACAGCAAGGCAGTGATGGCTGCTCCTGTACAAGCGGTCGGGCCCCTGTTGAGATTGCTTGCATGTAAAGCTCCCGGCCGGATAATTGCAACTGCCGGCCGGGAAGCTACTCATCGGACTTTGCCGTCTTCTCGTCACACATGAGGACGAGCGTATTTTTCAAGCCCTGTCTATAGGTGTGGCCGGGTCTTGGTCCAGCAATGTGAGGATCGCCTGCACCGAGGCCCGTAGATCAGCTGTCGTGGATTTAGGCAGGCCCAGCAATCTGAGATTGTTCCTCCCCAGCTCTCCCCTTCATCTACTTGTAGCAGTAGTAGAGCGTGTGCCCTAACCTGAGCTGACGCCGTTGATTCTAGGGCCTTCACTCGAGCCGCCAGCGCGGACTGCGAAGCCTCGCCCGCTGCAACTCTACCGTCCAGTTGAGAGAGGAGGTGGGCAACACAATCTCCCTGCGCAGTGCCCCTTTCACCCGCAGGGCCAGCCGGTTAATGTCTTCCTTGGTGTGTAAGGAACGAAGCTCTGAGCTCAGGTCTGCATCCAGCACAGCAGTTGGGTCTGACGAGGATCGGGGCTGGGGAGAGAGTGCCGAACTTTCTATGCGAGGGGACCGGGCAGGCGATGACTCACACTCCGACATCTCAAGGGGGGTAGAGCGAATCCAACCTGTCTCCCCGGAACCCCTCGTGGGGGTAATGAGGCGTGGGCCTCATTACCTGGCCTGGAGGGAACCGGGGAGCCGGTCCTGTCGTCGTCTTGTTCTGAGCCATTTCCTGCCCCTAGACATGAGGCCAGATCGGGGAAATATGCACGGGATCAGCTGTATAAGTGCCGTCGGGAGCAGAGCTCAAAGCCCTTAAGGCTTCACTGCTCCATTGCTGGACCACCACCCTCCTCTGGGGTCTTTTAAAGCGTCGTCTATGGACTCTTTGGGGTACTGAATTTTGTTGCCATTTCACGGACGCACACAATTTTTTTCTTACCTGGGCATGTTGGTTATCTATTTACTGGTTGTAACCTCCATTTTGTGTGTGTATATACATTTTTTTTTTTATTGTGTTTTGGGGCATTTAAGTGCATTTTTCACTAAATTTTGGGGTTCGATACGTTGCACTAATATCGTGTAACATAAAAATTTGCAACTGCGACTATTCTATAGGATCTTGGCTTTCAGAAAATGTTTCGGGATTTTAAGTAATTTTCAGGCCTAAAATCTGAAATATAACATGGGTACAAAAATGAAGAAAAGGCCTGTCATGAAGGGGTTAATCAAACTGTTGCCTTTTGTACGATCCCCCCCATAAATTGGTGTAGAGGGTAAAGCAATTCATCAGTGTTGCAAATGTATGTGAAATGTATTTTGTGTTTGTTCTTACAGATGTGAAGCCCTGCTCTAGAGGTGTGCAAAAAAAGTTGGTGCAAGGTAATGTATCAGTATTGAGGGTTGTGTAAATATTTTTGGTAACATGCTTGAGGGGTTATCAGTTTTGTGTGGCTGCCCCCCCTAAAATGCCTTTATTAAATCTAAATTATTTGTGTAAATACATAGTTACATAGTGACATAGTATTTGAGGTTGAATAAAGACATTAGTCCATCAAGTCCAACCTATTAGGATCACATTCTAGGAGTACCTGTACCCCTCTATATTACGGTCCCTCAGGAAATCGTCCAAAAGTTTCTTGAACAATTCCACATTCTTTGCTGAAATCACCGCCTGTGGCAGTGAGTTCCAGACCCTAACTGATCTTACTGTGAAGGACCCCCTTCGCCCCTTGTGCTGGAATGTTTTTTCCACCAATTTTAGGTGGTGGCCTCTAGTTTTTGTAATGGAGTTAATTTTAAACAGTTTATCGCCAATGTTGTTACCACCATTGAACATTTTGTACATGGAAATCGTATCCCCCCTTAATCTCCTCACCTCCAATGTGAACATGTTTAAATTTAGTAGACTTGTCTCGTAGATCTGGTCCTCCATACCCCTAATTAGTTTGGTTGCCCTCCGCTGGACCTTTTCCAACTCAAATACTTAGTATTTGCTGGAGCTTTTCATACATTAACCTTTTGTATCATGAAAAAAGACAACTGGTGTATGTAATAAGACCTAAATTGTGGTTGTATAAACATTAAGGCTGAGCTCTGGGTGCTAGTATATATGCTTGATCGATATAGATATCTACGTTTTTTTTCTTTCTCTAGTTTGTCATAACTTTGTGTTTAACTCCCCCCACTCGCTACTCCCTTGGCAGGTATGACGCCTGGTTCCCACCTGGGCGTTTTACAGTGCGCAGGAACGTGCTGAAAACCGCCCTACGCCCAAAAAGTACAGGAGCTTCATTGGGGTGTATTTCAGCGCGTTTCCATTTGTACTCCCGAGTGTGGATCAGGGTTAACAAAGTGGTAACCCTGAGCCACACCCAGGAATACAGCGTACAGGTCTTACCTTGTCCGCCATCCCCGCTGTGTCCTCAGGCGGCTGCCGACTTCTGGGTTCCGTCCCTTGCGAGTGGCCGCGTCGCAGGGGCTGAGCTGGCGGGAAGTTATAAAGTAAACAAAAATAAAGAAATAGAGAAGATAAGGAAAAAAAATTCATACCGCCAGTTAAACGCGTGTTTCACTGAATGGAAAAACGCAAAAAAAACTTGCTGAAAAAATACGCTCAGGTGTGAACCCAGCCTTAGCTTTGTTTTTTATATCTAGGAGTTAGAATTTCCTTTTCCCTGCTGCGATCTAGTTACCTAATTTTATATTATATTTTTGGATGGCCTACTACACAGATTATCTTCAAGTTCACAGCTGCCTTGGTGACAGACCAGATATAAAGATCTGATGGTCATTCATCCCTCCAGTTCAGCCATGGAGCACACGATGTGGATTTATTTATGTGTATTTGGAGTGCAGATCTGCTGGCTCTGAGCTGGTCTTGCAGCTTTCTCATTTTAGGCGCTCTTGAGCTCGCTCTCGCTCTCGTCCTCCTCTCTCGACCCCCCCTCTCTCGCCGCCCCCCTCTCTTGCCGCCACATGGAGGGGGACATTTTAACTTTCTTTTTGTTTTCCAGTAGGAAGTAATGAATGGATGACTTCCTGCATAAATTGATATCTTATCTTCTTTCCCTTCCCTCCCTCTGATATATTAGATAGTGGAAGCATTGGCAATCGAAACATTGCCATGTGATCGCTGTGATAACCAGTCATGGTGATCATTGGTTACAGAGCTTATCTAATTGGCTCTTTGCCTAAAGCTGCTGCTCTCTGCGGTCAAATGACAGTGGGATCAACTGTTTATGAAGCTGCGTGCTAATAGGTGGCCACGAGAGGATGTGCACAGTGGCATGAATGTTAAGTCATTCCATTGCTCAATTTTCTGGTAACAGGTGTTTTGTCATTTCAGCTCGTTTACCTTTTAAACGCCTAAATCCCGCCCCAAGGGAGAAGGGTGAAATCTCGCAAGTGAAGATGACAAATGTGGTTCAGAAAGCCTCCTTGGTTAATACAGAGTACCCACTTGTCGATGTGGAGAATGGCTGTAAAATGGAAACTGGAGAAGTGCAGCTAATTCCCAAAACAGCAAATGGTTGGGGACCGCTTGATAATTATGTCAGAAAGATGTCGAAGGAATCACATTGCAAACCTATCACAATTGACTTGACTGAAGACTCGAATAGTGGGCCTGTTGAAAAGCTTCCATCAAAAGGAAAAGTACAGTCTAACTTTGCCAATGGGCCTGCTTTCCCTAGTTCTGATGTGGTGAGATCTCCATCATTGGCACAGACTGACAAAGATCTTGAAGGCGGTGATTGTTTGAAGCAATCAACCAGTACTAATTGTTTTAGTGCAGAAGAGATCACAGAGATGAGTACAAAATCTCCTTGTTCTACAGAGCTACAAACCGTTATGCCAGTTGACAGTGCCTCGTCTTTCACTTGTGCAGATAGAGAGAATGCGGAAGATGAAGATACTCCTTTGTCCTTGAGCAGTTCTCCAGTCAGTTCTCCTGATGCCCTAGCAATTGCGCAAAGTCCCAACAATTTTTCATCTCCAACAGGCGGGTGTAAAGTAAGTTCCCCCTTTTAAGTGGGTTTTTAGTTGTGTGTAATGTAATATCTATATGCACGCATGTTTTAGTATCAAATGTTGTGATCTCTCTAACGTGCACTTCAACTATATGGGGGAAATTTATCAAAACTGGCACAGACAAAATCTGGAGCAGCTGTGCATGGCACCCAATCAGCTTCTCTGCAGTTCAGTTAAGGTTTGAAAATGAAAGGGAGGGGCTGATTGGTTGCCATGCACAGCTCCAGATTTTGTCTGCTCCAGTTTTGATAAATTCCCTTATGTATTTTTGTTGTCCATAATTCTTGCTTAAGGTATTAACCTTTTCTTTTCATTTGTCTCCTGCCTGCAGAAGTCTGTAATATACTAAATCATGTTGTGCTTCTGGCAAGACTTTAGTGGACCACAATCTGTAAAATATATTGAGGGGAATTTATCAAAACTGGAGCAGCTGTGCATTGCAACCAATTGGCCCCTTTCATTTTCAAATCTTAAATGAATAAACTGGAGAGAAGCTGATTAGTTACCATGCACAGCTGCTCAAGATTTTGTCTGCTCCAGATTTGGTATATTCACCTTTTTATTGTAGTTTTCAATTTAAAGAGGGGGGGAGAGGTGGCATCTGTGTGGCATCTGTGTGGCATCTGTGTGGCATCTGTGTGGCATCTGTGTGGCATCTGTGTGGCATCTGTGTGGCATCTGTGTGGCAGTGACATCTGTGTGGCAGTGACATCTGTGTGGCAGTGACATCTGTGTGGCTGTGACATCTGTGTGGCTGTGAGATATCTGTGTGGCATGTGTGATATCTGTGTGGCATGTGTGATATCTGTGTGGCATGTGTGATATCTGTGTGGCATGTGTGATATCTGTGTGGCATGTGTGATATCTGTGTGGCATGTGTGATATCTGTGTGGCATGTGTGATATCTGTGTGGCATGTGTGATATCTGTGTGGCATGTGTGATATCTGTGTGGCATGTGTGATATCTGTGTGGCATGTGTGATATCTGTGTGGCATGTGTGATATCTGTGTGGCATGTGTGATATCTGTGTGGCATGTGTGATATCTGTGTGGCATGTGTGATATCTGTGTGGCATGTGTGATATCTGTGTGGCATGTGTGATATCTGTGTGGCATGTGTGATATCTGTGTGGCATGTGTGATATCTGTGTGGCATGTGTGATATCTGTGTGGCATGTGTGATATCTGTGTGGCATGTGTGATATCTGTGTGGCATGTGTGATATCTGTGTGGCATGTGTGATATCTGTGTGGCATGTGTGATATCTGTGTGGCATGTGTGATATCTGTGTGGCATGTGTGATATCTGTGTGGCATGTGTGATATCTGTGTGGCATGTGTGATATCTGTGTGGCATGTGTGATATCTGTGTGGCATGTGTGATATCTGTGTGGCATGTGTGATATCTGTGTGGCATGTGTGATATCTGTGTGGCATGTGTGATATCTGTGTGGCATGTGTGATATCTGTGTGGCATGTGTGATATCTGTGTGGCATGTGTGATATCTGTGTGGCATGTGTGATATCTGTGTGGCATGTGTGATATCTGTGTGGCATGTGTGATATCTGTGTGGCATGTGTGATATCTGTGTGGCATGTGTGATATCTGTGTGGCATGTGTGATATCTGTGTGGCATGTGTGATATCTGTGTGGCATGTGTGATATCTGTGTGGCATGTGTGATATCTGTGTGGCATGTGTGATATCTGTGTGGCATGTGTGATATCTGTGTGGCATGTGTGATATCTGTGTGGCATGTGTGATATCTGTGTGGCATGTGTGATATCTGTGTGGCATGTGTGATATCTGTGTGGCATGTGTGATATCTGTGTGGCATGTGTGATATCTGTGTGGCATGTGTGATATCTGTGTGGCATGTGTGATATCTGTGTGGCATGTGTGATATCTGTGTGGCATGTGTGATATCTGTGTGTGTGTGTGGGATATCTGTGTGTGTGTGGGATATCTCTGTGTGTGTGTGGGATATCTCTGTGTGTGTGTGTGGGATATCTCTGTGTGTGTGTGGGATATCTGTGTGTGTGTGTGTGGGATATCTGTGTGTGTGTGTGTGTGGGATATCTGTGTGTGTGGGATATCTGTGTGTGTGTGTGGGGGATATCTGTGTGTGTGTGTGGGATCCGAGTGTGGTGGTGGGGGGGGAGGGGGTTGTGTCTATACACTCACTGGCCACTTTATTAGGTAAACCTTGCTAGTATCGGGCTGAACCCCTTTTGTCTTCAGAACTGCCTTACTAGTTTGTGGCATAGATTTAACAAGGTGCTGGAAACATTACTTTGAAAGTATGGTCCATATTTACATGGTATCATCATGCAGTTGTGCAGCCGACAAATCTGCAGCATTTGTGATGCCAAGCTCCACCAGCGTGAACCTTTTGATACATGGTCGGATGGATCTATGCTTTCATGTTGTTTACTAGGGCTGCAGCTAACTATTATTTTCAAAATCGATTAGTTAGCCGATTATTGCGTTCGATTAATCGGATTGTGGTCCATCACAGGAGCAAGCTTGGAGCGGTGGAAGTAAAAAAAATTTGATGTGCAATATATTACATTATACAGCGGCGCAATGCAGAATACCTGCATCTATAGAGGAATACAACAAATCTCAGCAATAGTACATTATACAGCGCAATGTGGAATACAGCAAATCGCAGCAATAGTACATTATACTATAATGTACTATTGTTGGGATTTGTAGTACTCTGTAGCTGGTGTTCTGTTTCAATATGTTTTTTTTGAGTAATAGAAGTTGCAATGCAAAAACATTAGGTCATTTATTCGGCATATAATAACATACACATCCTGGAGTCACAATAATATATAAAGTAAACATCTTTCCCGCAGTGGAGACCTGGGGTCCAAACTGGGAAGGGGCAGAGACCCAATAGGGTAGTAGATAATGCGGTAACATAACTATGGTCCCGGAATGAGTCGGATTCGAAAGACATCAAGCAAGTCTGATACGACCAAGTGAGTAATGCGTAAGAGTGAAAAATATTTAAGGTTAGTTAGAAAATAAAGGTTAGAGATTAGATGGAAGGAAGAATAGAGGAAGACAACGTAGAAAAGGTATGAAACGTTCGAATACAAGTAAGACCATCCATAATATCTATCAGGATGACCATATGATCAAATTTTACATAGAGGGTGCAACAACCTACATTTCCAAGCCGCACAGAATTTGTGTTACCTGGTTTCCTAAAAAAAAAATAAAAAAATTCCCTACTTTTTTATAAAACATTTATTACCCAATTTTTAGTAAAACATAAAATTCGGGGTCACGGCGGGTAAATAGACACCAAACATGTCAAGCCTTAAAATTGCGTGCAGCCGCAAAATCGCAAAAAACGCCCATAGGTGACAATTAACCACTTGAAGACCAGGGTGTTTCACCCCCTTCCTGGCCAGGCCATTTTTCAGTATTCAGCGCTGTTGTAGTTTGACTGACATTTATTCCGTCATGCAACACCATACCAAAATTAATTTTATACCCTTTTTTGGGGACAGAGCTTTCTTTTGGTGGCATTTAATCACCACTGGGGTTTTTATTTTTTACTATATAAAGGAAAAATTGCCGAAATTTAAAAAAAAAAACAGTTTTCCCTATGTTAAGCAATGAAAAATTGCACATAAATTATCTTTCTTCATAAATTTAGGCCAAAACTTTAGCCACAGCAGTCTCTTTCGCCCACCTCAGCTCCCAATGGGGGGAGACGAAGACTGCCGAACTGCAGTTGGCCGGCTTCTGCTGTGCGGGAGAGAGAGCACCTGGAGTCGGCTGGACATGTAGGAAACCTCGCTGCACCCCCCCACCATCACCAGAAGAAGAGGTCAAAGGAACTGTAAGTCCCTGTACTTTCTTTGTGACCTCTGCACTGCGCGTCGCACCGCTGACCTCTGCACTGCGCGTCGCACCTGTGACCTCTGCACTGCGCGTCGCACCGCTGACCTCTGCACTGCGCGTCGCACCTGTGACCTCTGCACTGCGCGTCGCACCGCTGACCTCTGCACTGCGCGTCGCACCGCTGACCTCTGCACTGCGCGTCGCACCGCTGACCTCTGCACTGCGCGTCGCACCGCTGACCTCTGCACTGCGCGTCGCACCGCTGACCTCTGCACTGCGCGTCGCACCGCTGACCTCTGCACTGCGCGTCGCACCGCTGACCTCTGCACTGCGCGTCGCACCGCTGACCTCTGCACTGCGCGTCGCACCGCTGACCTCTGCACTGCGCGTCGCACCGCTGACCTCTGCACTGCGCGTCGCACCGCTGACCTCTGCACTGCGCGTCGCACCGCTGACCTCTGCACTGCGCGTCGCACCGCTGACCTCGCGGAGATAAGGGCAGGGAAGGGTTTAGGTGGGCCAACTGGTGGTGAGTAACTTTTAAGGTCTGGCTAGTAGCTTAGGACTTGAAATTTTGAGCCTTGCCCTATGTAATAGCCAATTTACATGGCAGGTCCTCTTTATGGAGGCATCAGGGGTCTCCAAGACCCCTAATGTAACCTAGGGACCCCCAGAGAAGCTGATGAAGCAGAGATCGGCTTCATCAGCTTCTGTAGCTGGAGAGTGACATTGAACGCAGGAAGTGATGTAATCTACATCACTTCCTGCATCCGAGGACTGAGAGGAGATCAAACAGTTCGTATACTGAACTCCTCCCTTTGATCTCCTGTCACAGAGCCGTGCCGGTCCCAGCCGCATCGGGCACAGCGGATCTCTGGATCGTCAACGCCAGTGACAGCTGCTAATACAAGCAATGGAACGCCTCTAGAGACGCCCGATCGCTTGACTGTAAAGGCCGTGACACACTGCACGCGAAGCCGTGCAGAGCGAAGCAAAGCTATCCGGCACGGAGCTTTGCGTGCAGTGTGTGAGCTGAGTGCAGTCAGATGATTGACAGCACCTTCAGCCAATCGGCTCGTCCGTAACAACCTGCCAGCTGTCGCAGCGTGACGCGCTGGT